ATTATGTACTATTTCTGAGTTCAGGAACACACTTTGAAATGGAGAAGTATGGTAGCAATCACAGTGATTCTAGAGACCGGTGTAGGGAAGTAGTTATGAACCAACAGCACTTGCTGTGATCTGATTTGGAAATGTGTGGATAGTGAGGTTTAACTCCGACTACTCATCAATGTGCTCCAATGTTTTCTAACCTTAGGGAAGTGCACTCCCAATGTGGCTTAAGCAGTACCTCAGAATGGTGTAAAGAACACCTGATGGACGGTGCACAGGACTTAAGGAGCAGAAGTTATATACTTCTTTAGAATGAAAAAAGTTTTTAGATGTTTTCAGTGTTTGCAGGAATAGAGAATACTGGAAACAGCCTAAAGTCAAACCACACAGGTTTATCTTTATAATATATGAACTTTGCAATATTTCAGATAATAAAATCATTTAAATCTACATTGGTTGATCGAATGGCAGTTTAAGACACATTAACTATTTTAAAAAATATTTTGTGACTGTGTGTGTTGGGGGTAGAAGTGTGTGTGTGTGTGTGTGTGTGTGTGTGTGTGTGTGTGTGTGTGTGTGTATGTGTGTGTCCCTGTGTGTGTATGTGTCTGTGCTCACACGCCAACACTGGATGTTGGTTCTCACCTTCTACTTTGTCTGAGGCAGATTCTCTAGTTCACTACTGGACATACCTAACAAGCTGGCCTGTGAGTTTCTGTAGAGTCTCTTTTTTTGTTTGTTTGTTTTTTGAGACAGGGTTTCTTTGTGTAGTTTTGGTTCCTGTCCCAGATCTCGCTCTGTAGTCCAGGCTGGCCTCGATCTCACAGAGATCTGCCTGGCTCTGCCTCCCGAGTGCTGGGATTAAAGCCATGCGCCACCGCTGCCCGGCTGTTTCTGTAGACTCTCTTGTAGCTGTCTTCAGTCTCTGCTTTGGGACACATGGGGTTTATACACATGGATGTTACTGTGTCCAGATTTCATATGGGTTCTGGTGATTCAAGTTCAGGTTGTCAGGCTTATGTGGCAAGTACTTTTATCCACTGAGCCATCTCTCAGGCCTGCTTAAATAGATTTTTTAAACTGTAGGCTATAGAAAAATATGTGTATTGTGATGCAAATCTGGTAGATAAAGGATATTCTTCGTATATGTAACCAAAGGTTAAATAAACAATACTGGATAGTGAAATGTGACATTTTTATAAAGAGATTATAGATCACTTACAACTTACTTATTTTTTTGTGTGTGCTATCTTATGGTGGTATTTTATTTGTACTGAAATGTGATTTTAATTGTATGTTAATAAATAAAGTTGCCCGGGGGGTCAGAGCTATTAGAGCCATAGCAAGAGCGTGGTGGTGGTGGTGGTGGTGGTGGTGGTGGTGGTGGTGGTGGTGGCGGCGGCGGCGGCGGCGGCAGCGGCGGCACACGCCTTTAATCCCAGCACTTGGTAGACAGAGCTAGCTAGATCTTTTAATCTCAATACCATAGAGGACCTAGAGGGCTGTACATACAGGCAGTGACAAAGCAGTCATATGTTTGGGTTTACAACCAACAAGAAGGCAGAACAGACAGTCTATATAAAGACGAACAGACAGGAAGTAGCCCCTTTCGGAGAGCTCTCTTGGCTGAAGAGGATCGCTGAAGCAGGAAGGGTGAGGCTCTTAGCTCTGAATCGGCTCTGTGTTTCTTATTTAATAAGACGGTTGGTTACATCTACACTATCTACTTACCTAAGTTTTCTAAAATGATATTGGTATAATTAAAACATGAAGAAGAAATCACTGGTGATATGTTCTGCTTAACTTTATATTTCTACATCACATTTTCCAATAAAATATCACATTTATGATCCACTGAGTGAAAAGTAAAGATGAAAGCCAAAACAACAATAAAAGTAATTAAAACAAAACATTGTACATCATAGGGGGTTCATGGGAAATTCTTTGTGCTAGTTCCTGTTGTCGTTATAGTATGAGAACAGCCAATCATTACCTTGAGTGATATTGCTGGAGACACCGAAGTAGCAGAGGAACTGCTGGGTACTGTTGCCAATGACAACTGTTGAGTACTGAAATTGCTGGGCTGTGTTGCTGGAGACAGTGGAGGAGGATTGAACCTGTTAGGCACTGTTGCTGGGGTGACCTGAGGGGTATTGTAACTGTTGCTTATGGTTGCTACAGACACCCGAGGACTCTTATAACCACTGCTCTTTGTTGCTAGAATCACCAGAAAGACCTGGATACTGCTGGGCACTGTTGCTGAGGTGACCTGAGGGGTACTGTAACTGCTGAATATGGTTGCTGCAGACAATTAAGGACTCTTATAACCACGGGTCACTGTTGCTGGAGTCAGCCTAGAGGCCTGGACACTGCTGGGCACTGTTGCTGGAATCACCTGAAAGGCCTGGACACTTCTGGGCACTGTTGCTGGAGTGACCTGAGAGGCATTGTAACTGCTGGTTATGGTTGCTGCAGATACCTGAGGACTCTTAGAACCACTGGCCATTGTTGCTTGAGTCACCAGAAAGGCCTGGTTGCTGCTGAGCACTGTTGCTTGAGGCATTTAAAAACGCCTGGACGTTGCTGATCACTGTTGCTGGGCTTGCTTGAAAGGCTGGGGCACTGCTGGGCACTGTTTTTGGAGACTTCAGAGGATCTTGGTGACTACAAGAAAGGATTGAAGTGACCTGAGCGGTGTGGATGCTGCTGGGGGCTGTTACTGGAGACACCTGAGAAGTCTGGTCACTTGTGGAAAATGGAGCTGAAGGACCCTGAGATATTGTCAATATGGTGCATGATATTTCTGGGGGCTCCAGGGGAATTTGGAGGCTGCTGGAGATTGTTGTTGGAGGCCCCTGAGGCATCTGTGGTTCACTTACAGCTGGGCATCTGTTGGTTGTTGAAAGTTCTGGAAGTTTATGTTCTCCCTGGAATGACTGTGCTGTCATGATGTCAGGTGATTTGGTAATTGTGTCTTCATGTTTCTGAGGGGAAACTGATTTTTTAAATTCTTTGTATTCTGATAAATGGTTTTCAGAAATCAGGTCAAATAATCTTCACATTTTCCCCCTTTAAAAATACTTCTGTTCTGTATGTTTTCCTTCCAGGCTGTGGGAGGTATTATAGATCACATATTGGGACCCCTAACATCTAGCCTCTTCCCTTCCTAATTATAATGTCTCTTAGAAACTTGGGCACTAAATTTCACTGGCTTTGCTTGGAATCCCGACTCTGCATGTCTTATAAAACTGGCCAAAGATAACTTGGTTCAATTTAACTCAGGTTTGTTGTTTGGGCAATGGGGCTAACAGCAAGATTGGCTTCCACTTATGGGTTTTCTTTCCTCAGTTTTCCAATGAAACCACTCCAGATTGTCTGCTTTTTTTGGCACGCAGGAATCCCTGCCACCACCCTTTCAGGTAATCTGATTATAAATGAGCAACAAGTACCCTGAAATAATGGACCACAAAGTTAAAACTTTGGGAGATGGGATGTAGCTCAGGTAATGTAGTGTTAGCCTAGGATGCACCAGATAGAACTCATTTAAATATCTGCTTAGGTTAAGGTTTTTTGAATACTATTTTTATAATTGGTTAAACAAAAGTGCTGTATATATGAACATATACATGTACATATAAAACATTTGTACATAAGGCTATACAGATTTTAGCGCCTTTAAAACATTTAACTAAACTTATACGAGACATAAGCCTTAAAAGATCTTAAATTTAGCTTCAAAGGTAAAAAGTAAAAACGTGAAAGTATGTAAAAACTTTCATGTAACTGTCATGTCAATTATTACTGTTTTCTTTGTGTCTCTGATCCCTTGGGATGTAAATCTTCTGAGACCAGAAGAAAGAGAAAAGATCCATCCAGCAGTGGTAATTCAAAATGAAAGCCATACCAGAGAAAAGATGGGGGCTTTCTCCAATTTGAAGATAATGTAGGAGTCATAATGAACAGTAAAGGCAAAATGAAAGGTGCTGCTATTGCAGTTCTAGTTACAAAGAAGTGTGCAGACTTTCTGCCCAGAATCACATCCAATGAAGGCAACACTACATGACTCTGGTGTATTTGTAAAATATATTCATTAAAAAGTCTTTGCTCCCCCCAAAAAAAGAGAATGAAAAAAAGAAAAAGAAAAAGAAAATAGATGATGTTATTCAAGCTGATATCATACAAACAAACATGATTATTAATGGTCTTTTCTCCAAACATGTATGTTTTTAATTATCTTATTATCATCATTGATGAAAACAGATAATTAGATGTGCACATTTATTTAACACTCCAAGTAACACAACCTGGTGTAATGGTAGAATGAAATAAAATAATTAAGCATTTGTAAATGGCTGTCAGGTTTTAAAATGTGCACTAGAGGGATGAATGGTTACAGTAAATAAATGAGTTAGCAGAAGATTAGATGATAAGTTTCTTCAAGATTTTTATCATTGTGGAGAAGTGTGGAGTATCTTGAAAGAATGGACCATAGAGTTAATATTTTTGGTAATCATGTCGTGGCTCAATTGGTAGAATGCTTGCTTAGTATACAGGAAGCCCAATCAGGATTCATTTAAATATCTGTAAAGATAAAATGTTTTAAATGATCAATCATGTGATAACTCTGGTTAAATGAAAATACTATATATAGTCTATTGAGATCATAAATTATTTCATAACAACATATACCTTGTCAAGAACAGAAGCTTCTCACTGAGGTCTTCATAGAAGCACTGACTGATTTAATCCTATGATAGAATTGTATAGCCTTTAATTTTTATGGCTTTATTTCCATTTTTTCTCAAAGGAAAAAAAATGCATGCATCTTATACTGATAACGGCTGATTGTCCCTTTTGTGTGTTAGAGATTGAACTTGGGGTTTTGTGTGAGATAATTTACTTCATATTATTGGATTCTGATTCTATTGATTCACTGGGAACTGAATATTCTGAACAAATGGCCAGAGAAGAGCATAGGATCATCTCATGCAGGAATAGAAACATTTCATTTATGTCAATCCTCTCTTCACATTTGATGATGGGAGAACACTACGCTTAGATTTAGAAAGTACAAGTTGATGTTTAATGCCCTTTAACAGGCTTTGGAAAGTCATATCTGCTATTTTTCCAAATGGTCTCTGAGACTTGCTGTCTACCAGCATAGCCCCAGGTTCAGAGAGAGACTCTATCTCAAAGGAAAAAGGCAGAAAGTGATTAAGCAGAGTATTCGAAGTCCTCCTTTGGTATCAACAAATGCATGCACACACATGTATGCAATCCATAAATACACGTACAAAGTAAGTAATGATTTTATTTTATTTTTTTTTGTTACAGGAAATTACATCGTACTAAAGTACACAGTCCAGCAGTCCTAACAAAATGAGTGACCAGAAATCGTGAATTTGACCCTTCACTTCATTTTTGCTAAGTCCATAGCACAGATAAAAGGCTTAGAGGAACTACTCAAAGAAAGATACTGAGGAGAACAAGCTGAGTGGGTGCTTTTTCAGCGAGATCTTAGACAGCATACCTCTGATGAAGGTGTCTTTATAGTTGGTTCTAGTTCCAAACCTTCCTTTGTGTTGGAGATAAGGTGGGAAGTGCTGGATTCATCCTGTCTGGGTCTTTTTGCAGCACGTTTGGCTTTGCTTTTGATGTTGTTTTTAATAATGAAATAGAGAAAAGACAGTAAACTGTTGTAAGACAGCTGAAGTCCATTTAGCTATTTTGCCTCCTGCTTGTGTCTCAGTATACTTCCTGTTTACCTCTGCCACCAACAGACAATACAGACACAGCAACTGCATCAGGGCTTCCCTGCTCTTCTCAGGTGCAATGGAAGACATAGTCTTCCCCCGTGGGTATATTTATGCATGCCAGTCAAGCCCCATCCCAGCCCCTTTTCCTATAGTTTGCTTTTAAGAATAGAAAGACAAACATGGCGTGTACTCATTCGTAAGTGGATATTTGCTGTAAAAAAAAAAAAAAAGGTTAAATATGCTACATTCCACAGACCCAGAGAGACTAGGTAACAATGAGGGCTCATGGAAGGACACCCAGATCTCCTTAACAAAGGGAAATAGAAGAGATTTTGTGAGTGGACTGAGGGCAGGTGGGAATGGGAACATGAAGGATTTGGTTGGGGGGGAGGGGGGGGAGGGTACTGAAAGAGACTACTGGAAAGGGGGGGGCATTGAGGGGTCAGGTAGAAACCTGGCACAAGGGAATCTTCCAGGAATCTACAAGGACGACCCTATCTAAGACTCCTAGCAATAGTAGATATGTAGCCTGAACTGGCCATCTCCTGTGACCAGATTGGTGCCTAACCTAGCCCAGTTGTCATCTGAGAGGCATCATCCAGCAACTGATGAGAACAGATGCAGACCCACAGCAAAACATTAGGTGGCGTTTGGGTAATCTTACAGAAGAGGGAGACAAAGGATTGTAGGAGCCAGAGGGTTCAAGGGCACCATATGAAAACTCACAGAATCAACTAACTCACAGGGCTCATAGGGGCTCACAGAGACTGAACTGACAACCAGGGAGTCTGCATGGGACTGACCTAGGCATTCTGCATACAAGTTGTGGTATGTAGCTTGGTCCTCTTGAGGGACTCCTAACAGTGGGAACAGAGGCTGTCTCAGACTCTTATACTGAAATGTGGGACCTTACTCCTCATACTGGGTCACCTTGACCAGCCTTACTATATGCAGAGGTACTTACTGAAACTTGACATGCCATGTTTTCTTTTCTTTTTTTTTTTTTTTTTTTTTTTTTTGGTTTTTCGAGACAGGGTTTCTCTGTGTAGCTTTGCGCCTCTCCTGGAACTCACTTGGTAGCCCAGGCTGGCCTCGAACTCACAGAGATCCGCCTGGCTCTGCCTCCCGAGTGCTGGGATTAAAGGCGTGCGCCACCACCGCCCGGCTGCCATGTTTTCTTGATACTCAAGGGAGACCTGCCCTTTCTTAGACAGAAATGGAGGAGTGAATTGAGGAATAGGAATAGAGAGGGGATGGGGATAGGAACTGGGAGGAGAAACTGTGGCTGGGATGTAAAAATAAACAAACAAACAATAAATAAATAAATAAATTTATTTTGAAAAAAATCTAAAGTTTGCATCATGATATGACAGATTGTCTTCTGTAGGTTGCCTAAATTAGAGGAACAGAGGAGGAAACTGTGACCTGGTCTGAGTGCTGACAATGGATTAGTAGTAGACTTGGATGGCTTACCTTTTGGGTTCCTTTTATTTTCTGGAGATAAGATCTCAGCATGAACTCCAGGATAGTCTTAAACAGGAGATGTTTCTGCTCCAACCAATTGAGTTCTAAGATCACAGGCATGAGACAATACGCCCACTTTGTTTTTTCATGTGTTTTGAACCCAGTAACTTTATAAATGGGAACTTCTTCAAATCTCTTAGAGTCAAGATTCTACTTAAATATTGACTCACACTTGTTTGCCAGAAAATATGCTAATGATGGTATATCTTAATTTGGAATTGTGTTGATTGACTGAAGTATTCTTAAGTGTGATATTAAAATCCTGTTTTATAATTTTCTATCCACTCCACTGTATTAGAAGCTCTTGTTTCTCTGAGCAACTTCTGTTTTGTTTTTCTTTCCTTCACCCACCCCAAAGGCAGACCTCTAAATGCATTGGAATTCTCTGTAGGAAAGGAGTTGCCCAAGTTTCTAACAGCTTATTAACATCTGAAGTGCTGCCATTCTATAGGCCCCGACACACACACTGGGGAAGGGACATCCAGGATGCTCTCCTATTATTATCTTTCGCCATTTTTTTTCCTAAGTGTATCAACAAGGTCTCCAAGTTCGGGAATATCTTGGCACAGTCCTATCAGTTCACTCAATCCAGCATCCTTTGGAACTTTTCTTCCATTAAGTCAGCAATCTTAATTCTGTTATAATCGTCTTGCATTTTCTTAGTTATGGGAATGGATCAGTGAGGACTGAGGACTTAACTACTCTAAAGTTGTAGTCGCTGATAGACTCTGATCTGGACAGAAGAATATTTCTCTTGTTTTCATTCACCATCTCTCAGATTACAAGAGAATAACAGTATACAGAATCACGTACATAAATAGGTAATTTCAAAAACAGGGTGTGCCTAGGTGAGTGAACAACCCATGCCATGGTGTTGCCCAGAGCTGTGGATGTGAGAAAAGGAGAACTGATTACTAATTGTGCCACTGTGAGAAATGAGCATAGAATCTCTCAGTTAATAACTAAGTCTAAGAAATTCTTCCCTGTTGATGATGATAGCTGATTTAGATGGGTGATGGCTGTGATAGACGAAAGCATGAAAATCAGCATTTAGAGTAGGGGCTGTGGGGTTGAAAACTGGGTTCTTTTTCCATTATGTATAACTGATGTTGGACCTTTGTTCCTGTTTTCACTCTTTATTGGGCTGGAAATTGTTCCTGGCTGTCCCATTGTGAACTCCTGACTTGCCCATGCTTAAGCGACCCTTTTGTAGATGGGCTGCATCCTCTCTCCATGTACAGGAATGAGTGTTGAGTGCAATAGGGTGACCTTTGCTGAGACATTGGCCCTAGTCCACTTGGCTCTTCATTAAACAGCTTCCACTGGCATCCTGTTTTGCCTGATGTTAGACCTTGCTCTCTGGGTCTTGGTGCTTACAGTACTATCTGATGACAGCATTTAACTGGGTGAAATTATTTCAGTAGCTACTTAGTTTTCCTCCTTATAGGCTTGATTTTCTTAGTTTGTTTTCTCTGCTCATAGTACAAGTTTTCTCTGTATAAGCCATGTATAACCCCTGCTAAAATAAGTTTATAGCTCATCAGTTTCTTAAAAAAAATTCCTTGCTTCTTAAAACATTTTGGAGAGCCTTGGGTAATCTGCATTTTCACGTATTTTTCTTTTATATTCATGACACCACAGACTTCAGAATACGCTGCACCCCTTTCCTTGCCATGCTTTGTGAAGTAGCTGCTGTCTTTTTCAATATCACTCTCACATTGTCTTCTTTGTATGCCTTCTATGATAACCTTTAAGAATCAACTGAGATCGTGCCTTCTAGAAACTCCTAAAATTCTCCCAATGGACAAAATATCCTCTTGTAGATATGGTTAGGAATTTCTATACATCCTTGATAACTCTAGAGAATGGATTCCAATATCTGCTTAAATTTGTAAATAATTTTACTTATGGGTTTGTGTGTGTGTGTGTGTGTGTGTGTGTGTGTGTGTGTGTGTGTGTGTGAAATATTCTAATCAGAGTGCTAAATATTCTAGGACTATTAACTTCTGTTTTGAACAGCATTGTCAGGTTGAAAAAGCCCAGAATATGACAGGAAGTTCTACAAAGAGACACAAGACAGTGACTATGAAGGGAATACTAAAGAGGGTGAGTTAATGCCAACTTTTTTATTATTATTATTATTATTTTGCAATACAATTCAGTTCTACATATCAGCCACGGATTCCCTTGTTCTCCCCCCTCCCGCCCCCCTCACCTTTCCCCCAGCTCCCCACCCCATTCCCATCTCCTCCAGGGCAAAGCCTCCCCCGAGGACTGAGATCAACCTGGTAGACTCAGTCCAGGTAGGTCCAGTCCCCTCCTCCCAGGCCGAGCCAAACAATCCTGCATAGGCCCCAGGTTTCAAACAGCCGACTCATGCAATGAGCACAGGACCCGGTCCCACTGCCTGGATGCCTCCCAAACAGATCAGGCCAATCAACTGTCTCACCCACTCAGAGGGCCTGATCTAGTTGGTGACCCCTCAGCCATTGGTTCATAGTTCATGTGTTTCCATTCGTTTGGCTATTTGTCCCTGTGCTTTATCCAACCTTGGTCTCAACAATTCTTGCTCATATAAACCCTCCTCATTCTCGCTAATTGGACTCCCAGAGATCCACCCGGGGCCTAGTCATGGATCTCTGCATCCAGATCCCTCAGTAGTTGGATAAGGTTTCTAGCAAGACCATTAGGGTGTTTGGCCATCCCATCACCAGAGTAGGTCAGTTCTGGCTGTCTCTCGACCATTGCCAGCAGTCTGTTGTGGGGGTATCTTTGTGGATTTCTGTGGGCCTCTCTAGCACTTTGCTTCTTCCTATTCTCATGTGGTCTTCATTTACCATGGTCTCCTATTCCTTGTTCTCCCTCTCTGTTGTTGATCCAGCTGGGATCTCCCGCTCCCCCAAGCTCTCTTTCCCTCGACCCTCGCCCTTCACTACCCCCACTCATGTTCAGGCTGTTGAAAAAGCCCAGAATATGACAGGCAGTTCTACAAAGAGACACAAGACAGTGACTATGAAGAGAATACTAAAGAGGGTGAGTTAATGCCAACTTTTATACCTAAAGATCAGATCATCTGCAAAGATTCAAGGAGCAGATTAAAACTAACTCTCAAGAGAAATCTGCTTTTGGCAAATTAGTGGAATGGGCTTTATGTCATACTAATGGCCCAACATGTCACAAACCAAAGAGTTTTTAAAAATATGAAGGTTTGATTGATTTTGTGATTTATTTTGGGGGGTTTTCGAGACAGGGTTTCTCTGTGTAGCTTTGCGCCTTTCCTGGAACTCACTTTGGAGACCAGGCTGGCCTCGAACTCACAGAGATCCGCCTGGCTCTGCCTCCCGAGTGCTGGGATTAAAGGTGTGTGCCACCACCACCTGGCGATTTTGTGATTTTTGACAACAAGCTTATTCCAAAATATAAGCTGATGTGATCTGACAGGAGATCTTGATACATTTTATGCATATGCTTACATGTGAACACTCATGCTTTGCTGTTGAAATGTGATTTCTTTTGATTTTGGAGTAGTGATTACAATCTCAACAAAGTGTCCAAGAATACAGTATTTGGGATATTTGCATTAAAACACATCTTTAGCCAGCAAATCTTGGATATCAAAATATATCCAGCCCCAGTGGCACAAACAGATGCCCTCAACTTACTCTGAGTAAAACAGAAAATGAGAATGAGTATTTTAACTTAGACAAATTTACACTCAAAGAAGAAAGACTCAAAAGTGTTCTCTGATGTTCAGTAGTTTCAAATGAGAAAGTGCCCGGGGACCAATTATTGAACGTATGATGATAAAATGGTATGTAAAGTTGAGAATGCCTTGGAGTAAAACCTAAGCTGAGTGAAAACCAAAGTTGCCTGGGTGTGCCTCTGCTTCAGGTGTGAAATCCTCCTTGCAGAGAGAAGAGGTTGGGGTGGGGGAGATATATCAACAGGGTCACTGAGGGAGGCAAGAATTTAAGCTCACTAGTGTTTTTGTCTTCAATTGTTAGTTACAAGTCATAAAGAGAAGGCAAGAAGGGCAGTATAGACATACCATAAAAGAAATGGCCATAATAGAAGCCAGAAAAATGTGTTATCAGCCTACCCACAAGGGCCTAACATAAGTGGTTAATTAACATTTTTTTGTCAAATTTTATTTAACATATGTAGTTAAATGTGTGTTAATAAGACATTCATTAAAGGTGGAATTTTTAAAATAAATCTTCTGCATATTAAGCAATAAAAGCCAATTTTTCTATATTAGCATTGTCTTAATTAGAACTAAAGATAAAAATTCTTATAACAAACCAACAAAATGATTATAGTTTACCTCCTAGAAATAGATAACAGTTTTAATAACAGGGTTGTCTAATAATTGCTGTAAAAGTTAAATTTTTATGATTGATTTAGGAGTACTCAAGTACTAAATGAAAAAGTTTGTAGCTTTGTAAAGACTTAGAAAGTCTGAGCAACATAATTGATAAACTTAGCAATATTGATTTAACATACATACAATTCTGAAACATTTAAAAACTTCTCTACAAGTATACACAATGGGCATACCACAGTAGACAGTCTTCAGAATATTGTAAAAGTATGTGGAATACATGTATTTCTAATTAACTATCCACCCCTTTCCTATGACTCACCATCAGAAAATAAAAACAAAGAAAACTAAGAAGAAACAACCAAAGAACAAACAAAACAATTAAATATCAGAATGACACAAACCAACAATGTCTGAAATCCTACCATTTCTATCTGATGTAGAAGTGAAGTAAGAACATTAAATGTGCCCATGAAATCATTAAAACACTGTGTTTGCAATAACTATGAATCTGAGACCTTTTCGACCATAGGTGCCCACTGGTCCTCATGCTGTCTACTATTGGAATACTAGATAATGCAGCTTAATGGCCTGATGCAGTTTTCCCTGAATATAATTTCATGGTAATTTTTCATGTCACTAATTTGCCATCCCCCCTGTCACTCAGGACAGCCACCATGTTCAGACTCACCTCTAAAAAGTTTATTTTATAGGGGGCTGGAGAGATGGCTCAGAGGTTAAGAGCACTGACTGCTCTTCCAGAGGTCCTGAGTTCAATTCCCAGCAACCACATGGTGGCTCACAACCATCTGTAACGAAATCTGGTGCCCTCTTCTGGCCTGCAGGCACACATGCTGTATACATAATAAATAAATCTTTTTAAAAAAAGTTTATTTTATAATCTGAAATGTGTGAAATGTGTTTTTCTTGGCTCAGTCGTCTCTGGTGGAGGAATGAAGATGTCTGCCATCTTCCTGAGAGGAGGGTCCAAATCCAGCTACTGTGGGTTCATTGCTAAGAGTAGCTGGCACCAGCTCTGCTTCCTTATCTCAAAACCAAAAGATCCACAAGGATTTTACGTGTAATCTTGTTCATTTCACGGACTATCTAATCCCTATAGAAAGTAGGGCAGGACTCACCTCTTTAGACATTTCTTCAGTGGTGTCCAGTTTTGCAGGGTAGGAAGCAATTCTTGTGTGTGTGTGTGTGTGTGTGTGTGTGTGTGTGTGTGTGTGTGTGTGTGTCTGTGTGTGTGTGTGTGTGTGTGTGTGTGTGTGTGTGTGTGTGTGAGAGAGAGAGAGAGAGAGAGAGAGAGAGAGAGACAGAGAGAGAGAGAGAGAGAGAGAGAGAGAAGTTAAAATAGTAAATCTCTTGGAAAGTGAACTAGAGGGTTTGTAATCTGAAATTCTTAGGAAATGAAGTATTCACAGAGAGCATGAGAAAACTGATATTGATCAGAGTCAGTGCACAGACAGAACAGTACTGGGTGTCTTATCCTGTGCTTTTTGCAGCAAGAGAAGTGATAAAACAGTGAGATCGCCTCTTAACCATGTTCACAGCTTTTCATTTCCTCAGATAGTGAAACTCAAGAGTTTTCTTCCTGTAAACACTTACTTAAAAAAAAAAAGTCAAGAGAGTTAGTTACACTAGGGATTTTCCTTTCAAATCCTCGTAGGCACAAGATTCAAATTTAAAGTCTTCATGTCCCACAAACTCACAAGTGAGTCCCTAGGAATCTACACTCCTCTGAATGAAAGTGAAACAGACCAGAAAGGCCAAGTCACCCAGCCACTTCTTTACTGCTCAGGATGCAGACAGCAGCAGGAGAACTTGGCTGTGGCAGTTACCAGCTGCACTTGAATGGGTTTCAGAGAAGATCTGAGACGAAATAGCTTTTGGATTAAGTTGTTCTTGTAGCATTCACTCATTCATTAGTTCCCAAGGCCTGGACTTGCAGAGCCTAATGTTGCAAACCTCCAACTCCAAGCTCCAACTGTAGCACGAATCTTAAAAGTTCTTATTAATAAAAACAAACCTGAAGCCGGGTATTGGGGTGAATGCTGGAAGATCAGAGAAGCAGAACAAACCACAGCTAACCTCACCTTGCCAGTTCCTCAGCTGATCTCATTTCCTCAAACTTGAAGCCTCTGAGTCCTCATCCAAATGGATCTCAGCTGAACTGTTGCTCAAAAGCCTAAAAGCTTAACCAGCCTAGTTCCTGGTCCTCACGCCTGATATACCTTTCTGCTTCCTACCATCACTTCCTGGGATTAAAGGCATGAGTCACCATGCCTGGCTGTTTCCAGTGTGGCTTTAAACTCACAGAGATCCGGATGGGATGGACCTCTGCCTCCCAAGTGATAGAATTAAAGGTGTGTGTGCCACCATTTTCTAGCCTCTATATCTAGAGGCTGTTCTGTTCTCTGACTCCAGATAAGTTTATTAGGGTGCACAATACTTTGGGGAACACAATATCATCACATCCAACCTCGAATAAATAGAAAGGAATTGGCATTATCCTCTGTTGTGGAATGTCTTTCTGGATGCTGTGAATACATGTTGCTCCCATTGGCTAATAAATAAAACTGATTTGGCCTATGGCAAGGCAGCTTAGAGGCAGGTGGGAAATCCAAGCAGAGACAGAGAGAAGAAAGGCTGAGGCAGGAGAGATGCCAGCCTGCTGCCCAAGTAGCAAGATGCCAGCAGACCAGTAATGCCATGGCCACGTGGCAGCTTATAGATTAATAGGAATGGTTTGAGTTATAAGAGCTAGCTAGCAAGAAGCATGCCATAGGCCATACAATTGATAATTAATATAAGTCTCTGAATGATTATTTTATAAGCAGCGGAGGGACTGTGGGGCCTGGTGGAACCTGAGGAACGAGGGACCTCATGGCTAGGCAGGATCCAAGAAACTTCCAGCTACAATCCTCCCTCTTGATTGTAAAGTTAAGCTGCCCTCCTTCAATGACAAAGTTAATGCTTCCTCACTGTTTCTTTATTATTCATTGGTAAGCACAGGGTGCCTTGGGGCCTTGAGAACAGTGGCAAAGCTTTGAGCTTTGGTTAAGATCATGGATTGAAATAATGCTTGTTCTGCTGTGCTTTTCTTTGGAGAGTTTAAGGATTCAGAACTGTTGTGATCCTGAGACATGGAACAAATGTCATCAAGCAGTAGATGATGGTATGGGAGCCTACCAGCTGGTCTGCAAACAGGATGATGCCATGGCTGGGTGACCAGTCTACTCTTTGGGGTCAGCTGATTCACCTCGATAGAAATTATGGGCATCAAGTTGCCTTCCAAGTGCTAGTCCTGGGCACTTCTGGATCTTTTTGCCTTTGATAGTAATAATCATGCAGCAGGTCAGAGGAGCAGTAGCAAGTATTGGTTCCTGGTGATCTTCAGTATCAGGGCACTTAGCTGTGTAAGGTAGAGTTCCTGTGTAGACCTAGGACATTAGTAACCTTAGCTCTTCAAGTGTTAAACTCTTGAAGTGATGGGAAGACAGCCTAGCATCACAGCCTCAGGCAATCTAGGTGTTGGGATTCCTCAGTCCTGATAGGGTCTAGTGTTGAAGTTCCTGGATCTGAGGGGTCTGACACCTTTAACTCTAAAGCAGTTGTTCTCAACCTGTGAGTAACGAGTCCTTGGGAATCGAACTGCGCTTTCACAGAGGTTGTATATCAGATATTTACATAAAGATTTATAACAGTAGCAAAATTACAGTTATGAAGTAGCAAGAAAATAATGC